GAAGGGGGCTATGAGTCTGTCCTCCTCCTGCAGGGTGATACAGACAGAAGGGGGCTATGAGTCTGTCCTCCTCCTGCAGGGTGATACAGACAGAAGGGGGCTATGTGTCTGTCCTCCTCCTGCAGGGTGATACAGACAGAAGGGGGCTATGAGTCTGTCCTCCTGCAGGGTGATACAGACAGAAGGGGGCTATGAGTCTGTCCTCCTCCTGCAGGGTGATACAGATAGAAGGGGAGCTAGGAGTCTGTCCTCCTCCTGCAGGGTGATACAGACAGAAGGGGGCTATGAGTCTGTCCTCCTCCTGCAGGGTGATACACATAGAAAGGGAGCTAGGAGTCTGTCCTCCTCCTGCAGGGTGATACAGGCAGAAGGGGGCTATGAGTCTGTCCTCCTCCTGCAGGGTAATACAGACAGAAGGGGAGCTATGAGTCTGTTCTCCTCCTGCAGGGTGATACAGACAGAAGGGGAGCTATGAGTCTGTCCTCCTCCTGCAGGGTGATACAGGCAGAAGGGGGCTATGAGTCTGTACTCCTCCTGCAGGGTGAAACAGAGAGAAGGGAGCTATGAGTCTGTACTCCTCCTGCAGGGTGATACAGACAGAAGGGGCTATGAGTCTGTCCTCCTCCTGCAGGGTGATACAGACAGAAGGGAGCTATGAGTCTCTCCTCCTCCTGCAGGGTGATACAGACAGAAGGGGAGCTATGAGTCTGTCCTCCTCCTGCAGGGTGATACAGACAGAAGGGGAGCTATGAGTCTGTCCTCCTCCTGCAGGGTGATACAGACAGAAAGGGCTATGAGTCTGTCCTCCTCCTGCAGGGTGATACAGACAGAAGGGAGCCATGAGTCTGTCCTCCTCCTGCAGGTTGACATAGGAGTGGTATCTCTGCATCTGTCCCTTCTATGATTAAGATTAATCAATCTTTTGAATGAAATATAAAAAGGATTCAGAACATAACACAATGCTTACCATTCCCATTCGATTCTATATGAAGGTTTAGATTGGATATCCCGTTTTGTGCAGTCCACTGATCATCGGTATCGTGAACCCAAAACTCTTCATTATCATCTTTGAAGGGCTCATCCCTGGAGACATAAGATGTACACCGTTATACACACCTTTTATTAAACAACAAAATGTATTCTGATCACCTTCAATCTTTTTTTATATGAACTATAATCTGTCACACTGCTCTGCACATTTTAAATGGCCAATGTTAAGCCTGTATGTAGGTGCTGTTGGCTGTTGTTCCTGAGTTAGGTCTGTTGTCCAGGCTGCTCTGTTAGTAATGAGTTAAGCCAGTTTCTGCATTTTCCCGGGCTTTTCTGGGCTCTGCCCTCCAACTCGTGCTGCTAATGAAAAGGGGAGCTCTTAACTTAGCATAGATACTGACGGGAAGTGTGTAGTTCCTATGAGTAACCATGAACTGGTGAGAATATAATAGTGGAGATGGGTACCAGGCAGAGGTGACGGGTCCTCCAGTAGTGAGGGTGTCAGTATTCCAGCTCTCTCCATACCGCTCAGTGCCCCAAAAGCATTTGGGACCGACACTGCGGTATGGAAACCCTATGTGCCTAGCCAGGGGAGCAACATGTTGTTAGGTGCACCCACGAGGTCCACACTTGCATTGCAGGACCCCATTATGTCACTAGAGTGAGATGGGCGGAGTCTTCTGTGACATCACCACGTTCCAGCCAGTGGTATGACACCGCAGGAATTTTGATTTGTATACGGCCTTTATGCACCTTATCTATGTAAGTGCAATATTTTACTGAATACATTTTTGAGTTTTTATCAGGTTCACTATGAAGTCTCTTCTGTTTTAATCTTTCTCTACATTGCATGGAGAGTGGTTCGATGTGAGGAATTTGTTGGGGTGAGCCCGCAGCCATCCATCCATCTCCCTTGATATTGCTAGCATGGGTGTCAGTGTGGAATGTGAACACCGTCTGCTCGTTTGATCTCTTGATTGGAGATCAATGTGTCTGGTAATGCCTCGTAAACACGATAAGAAAATCGTACAAAAAATTTCACAGAACCCCTGATCAAACGAGTTTTTCTTCGTTGATGAGCAGGATGTTTTAGCCGATAACGATGTTCTGAACAAAAAAATCCAGTTGAACAACACTGAAAAATGTTGTAGTTTTGCATACGAACTACCAATTTCCTATGCGGTGGTATGACGGTCATACGAAAAAAATCTATCAAGCGCTATCACGCATGAGCAGAAACAGAAGATGACCCGGATGTTTATGTCCAAGGAATCCTCGTAAACACGAACAAAAAAAATCCAAATGTTAAAAGAAATCGGCCTAATGAGATAATGAAACCAGAATTCTGCAGATTATATTTTATGTATCACCAGGGGCAGACTGAAAACTCATGGGGCCCCCGGGCAATAGGGGATCATGGATGGAAACTGCAGGTTGCCACAAAGCTGCACAAGGTGTACTGCTCACTTCTGAATACAGGGTGCCGCCCTAATTTTGAGTTTACATGAATGAGCCCCCGCCTGGTCCCGGGCATTAGATGCAGGGCAAGTAGGACCCGCCCAAAAGTCAACCATACATGGAGTGAATTTCAGCTGGTTACAACAAATAACCAAGAAATCTTGCAAACGACCACACAGAATATTACAAAACAATAATTCAATGGAGAAGCAGCTCGAATCTGCACATACCCATATCACTGTGCCAAAATAAAAAAGTAATAATGCTGCGCTTCTCAAAACCCCTTGTACCTGACATATCCATTAATAATTACAAACAACACAATACATAACAGTAATTCAAAGTTCACAAATTCTCAATATTGTGATTGAGATATAATACATGTTTGTGTTCTCAAACCTATAACCCCCTGAAAAAGTCACCTGACCCTGTGGCGCAACGTGCAGGGGAGGGGCTTGTGACGTCATAACGCTTGGGGTCATTGGAACATCTAGGAACACGTAATGAGATATATTATACAGTATTTATATAGCGCCAACGGTTTGCTCAGCGCTGTACACTACACTGTATAATAATAATATATGGATCCATGTTTTGCATATTATGCTGAATATATATGGTGCCATTCAGCACCTTTTTATGTGAGTGGCCATTTTAAGTTTTAAATAAACAACACAATACATAACAGTGATTCAAAGTTCATGAGTCCTCAATATTGTGATTGAGATGTAATAAATGTTGTGAAATCCTCTTCTCAAACCTATAACCCCCGACAAAGTCACATGACCCTGTAGCGCAACGCATAGGGGAGGGGCTTGTGACGTCACGACGCTTGTGGTCATTGGAACATCTAGGAACACGAAATGAGTGAGATATATGGTTCCATGTTTTGCATATTATGCTGAATATATGTGGTGCCATTCAGCACTTTTTTATATGAGTGGCCATTTGAAGTTTTAAATAAACAACGAACAATACATAACATGATTCAAAGTTCATGAGTCCTCAATATTGTGATTGAGAAACATAAATGTTGTGAAATCCTCTTCTCAAACCTATAACCCCCGACGAAGTCACATGACCCTGTGGCGCAACACGTAGGGGAGGGGCTTGTGACGTCACAAACACTTGTGGTCATTGGAACATCTAGGAACACGAAATGAGTGAGATATATGGATCCATGTTTTGCATATTTTGCTGAATATATGTGGTGCCATTCAGCACCGTTTTTATGTGAGTGGCCATTTGAAGTTTTAAATAAACCGATGTTTTTAATAAAGAGAAAACATTATCATTCTTTCATTTTTTATAATCAATCGGAAGGAGAAAAGGAATAAAGGAGTAGTAAGAAGCGTGTGGAGAAGGTGATCTCTTAACTTAGAAAGAAGATTCCTTCTCATGATTCATCGCCAACCCAGTCCATTAAAGGGAAACACAAGTGTACTTATGACCAAGTGAATTACATGTGAGGGCACAATTGTGGTGTTTGGTGAAGGAGCACTCATTTTGGAATATATTTGTATGTTTTCGTAGGAATACGGATGGGTTTGAGAAGACGAACCCACATTATTATATCTCAATCACAATATTGAGGACAACTCACGAACTTTGAATCACCTAATTAAGGTATTGTGTTGTTTGTTTGTAGTAATTATTGTATATGTAAGGTATATGGGTTTTGAGAAGTGCAGCATTATTATTTTTTTATTTTCAGCTGGTTCCTCATAAACATCAAAAAAATGAGCATTGGGTGGCTCTGTTGGCAGTCCATCCACCCAACCACCTACATGTTAAAATTGAAGGAAAAAAATTGTCAGCCCAAAAAAATGGCTGCATCCAGGGCGGACTGACCATTTGGAAACTCGGGCAACCGCCCGAGGGCCCTGGGTCAGTAGGGGCCCCATGAGATGCCCCTGGTACCTTTTTCATAGGCCTGTTTTTGAGTTTTGGCAAGGACACAGGGGCCCCATGACCCCTATTGCCCGGGGGCCCCATGAGTGTCAGTCCGCCCCTGGCTGCATCCAATCAGATGCAGATACTGTTTTGGGTATTCTAACAGCTGTGAGTGCCAACTGTCAGAATACAGTAACTAGCCTTACAGGTTCCTCCATCCACGCTGCTTCTCTGATTTCTCTGATTGAACCTGTAAGCTTAAAAGTATATACATTCAGATGGTGATCTACTAATGTGGCCCCACAGCTGTGCTTTGTAGTAAAAGTGTCTTTCATTTATACTAGGTAATAACAAGAAACAGGTTTCTGTAGTCCCCCAGCAGCCACATTCATCAGTTATTTATCATATTTGTTAGGCTGGCTTCTATTAGCTAAATGGTTTGGTTTATTTTTCTACGCCTTCTTGCTAATTTGTTAATTGTCTACCTTTTTTCAGATTTTTCGTTCCCTTTTTTTTTCCCTTTCTTAGTCGCTGACCATCTCCTATAGCATGTCTGCAGTCTCTGACCATCACCTGTAGTATGTCTTTAGTCTCTGACCATCTCCCATAGTATGTCTACAGTCGCTGACCATCTCCCAGAGTGTATCTGCAGTCTCTGACCATCTCCTGTAGTAATGTATTTTTAGTCTCTGACCATCTCCCAGAGTGTATCTGCAGTTTCTGACAATCTCCTGTATCATGTCTGCAGTGTCTGACCATCCCCCATAGTATGTCTGCAGTCTCTGACCATCCCCCATAGTATGTCTGCAGTCTCTAACCATCTCCCATACAGGGCGACTGACAACTCATGGGGCCCCCGGGCAATAGGGGATCATGGGGCCCCTGTGTCCTTGCCTAAACTCAAAAAAGCCTATGAAAAAGGTACCAGGGGCATCTCATAGGGCCCCATTACTGACCATCCCGGGCCCTCGTCTGCAATGCCCAAATTTCCAAATGGTCAGTCTGCCCCTGCTCCCCATGTCTGCAGTCGCTGACCATCTCCCAGAGTGTATCTGCAGTTTCTGAACATCTCCTGTATCATGTCTGCAGTCTCTGACCATCCCCCATAGTATGTTTGCAGTCTATTGACCATCCCCCATAGTATGTCTGCAGTCTCTGACCATCTCCTGCATCATGTCTGCAGTCTCTGACCACCCCCCATAGTATGTCTGCAGTCTCTGACCATCCCCCATAGTATGTCTGCAGTCTCTGACCATCTCCTGCATCATGTCTGCAGTCTCTGACCATCTCCTGCATCATGTCTGCAGTCTCTGACCATCCCCCATATAGTATGTCTGCAGTCTCTGACCATCTCCTGCATCATGTCTGCAGTCTCTGACCATCTCCTGCATCATGTCTGCAGTCTCTGACCATCTCCTGCATCATGTCTGCAGTCTCTGACCATCTCCTGCATCATGTCTGCAGTCTCTGACCATCTCCTGCATCATGTCTGCAGTCTCTGACCATCCCCCATAGTATGTCTGCAGTCTCTGACCATCTCCCTCTCACCTTTAGGCGCACCCTGAAAACCCATCTCTTCAGGGAAGCCACCCCACCCTCACCTAACAGCCGATCTCCTACCACTTCTCCTACCACTCCATCCCCCACAGCCACTTCCTCCTGTACCACTATCCCCTCCCTTCTAGATTGTAAGCTTGAAAGAGCAGGGCCCTCTAACCCCTCGTGTATTGTTTTGTTACTGTATTGTCTCATGTTCTGTCCCCCACTATATTGTAAAGCGCTGAGCAAACCTTTCTGGCGCTATATAAATACTGTATAATAATAATAATAAGCTCCCATAGTATGTCTGCAGTCTCTGACCATCTCCCATAGTGTGTTTGCAGTTTCTGACCATCTCCTGCATCATGTCTGCAGTCTATGACCATCCCCCATAGTATGTCTGCAGTCTATGACCATCCCCCATAGTATGTCTGCAATCTATGACCACCCCCCATAGTATGTCTGCAGTCTCTGACCATCCCCTATAGTATGTCTGCAGTCTCTGACCACCCCCCATAGTATGTCTGCAGTCTCTGACTATCCCCCATAGTATGTCTGCAGTCTCTGACCATCCCCCATAGTATGTCTGCAGTCTCTGACCATCCCCCATAGTATGTCTGCAGTCTCTGACCATCTCCCATAGTATGTCTCCAGTCTCTGACTATTTCCCATAGTATGTCTGCAGTCTCTGATTATCTCCTGTACTATGTCTCTAGTCCCTGACAATCTCCTATAGCATGTATGCAGTTCCTTACTATCTCCTGTAGCATGTCTGCAGTCTCTGACCATCTCTTGTAGCATGTCTGCAGTCTCTGACCATCTCTTGTAGCATGTCTGAAGTCTCTGACCATCTCCTGTAGTATGTCTGCAGTCTCTGACCATCTCCTGTAGTATGTCTCCATTATCTAACAGTTCACTGTAGCAATACACACACTCAGAATTTATGTAAACCCTTTGGCAATGGCATTGGCTGCTCTGGGGGCTTCTATATCAATTAAATTGGTCACCATTGCCATAAAAATGTCAGTCCCACAACTTTTTGCACGGTACTCACCCATTCTTCTTCTTTTCTTTGACCAGGTAAAATGATATTGTGATAATAACAATGAAAAGGACAGCAAGGGCAGCTCCCACCCCTCCATACACACCAGCTTTTGATATTTTTCCTGTGCAGCTTGGACCTGTGTATATGTTTATGTCTGTCCTTGGACACCTGTGTGAAGAAATCATACATTATCCACCCAGGAACAGCATGTTTCACCCCTTTCATTAATAGACAATTTTTCAGGTTTTCTGATAGTTTGCTGGACAATTATTTGGTCAATCAACATTGTGCCAAATAAATTTTATATAATTCTTTGAGACAGACAGAGGTTTCATTTGGTGGTATTTTATAGCCATTGCATTTTTAAATGTCAACTATATAAAGGAAAAATTTAGAAAAAAGACACAAATTTGTTTAGCCCCTTCACGCCTGAGGGTAAAACAAATCTAAATGCCTAAGCACAATTTTGCAACGTTGACCTGTGTTAGTAAAACCGTCCATGTCATCACATCTACTTTGTACATCCATGTGGATTATACCGCATTTTTTTCAGGACAAATTGGGTTTCATTTGGTTGTAAATGGTTATGGATATCTCCTAATTTTTTTTTATTATCAAAGGAAAACTGGCCCAAAATAGTAAAAAAAAAAAATATTTTTTTTTATTTAGCTGTGTGTTTTGTGTTACCACCATAACCTACCACCAAAGAACAGCCAAAAATAAATTCTCCAGCTCTTGATGATCGCAGCGATACCATATATGTGTATGTTATTTGTTGTTGTTTGTACCCGGAGTACAGTCCAGAAACAATAGTGCACATTTTGTTTTTTTCTTTTTTTTATATAAAATACACTGATACCATTTTTTTAAATTCTGACCTTTGACCCTGACCTTTTGGCCTTGACCTTTGACCCTGACCTTGACCCAAACACTATCCCTAGCACTGAACTAGGTCAAACCTTGATCTAGGTATTTTTTATTTATTTTTTCTTTTCTTTTTTAATATTTATTTATCTTATTTTTTAGTGCAATGTAAAGGAAACATAAAAGTCCACCAGACTGCCAAAAGTATTGGGACGCCTGCCTTTACATGCACATGTACTTTAATGGCCCCCCAGTCTTAGTCCGTAGGGTTCAATATTGAGTTGGCCCCGCCCTTTCCACGCACATGACCTTTAATGGCCTCCTAGTCTTAGTCCATAGGGTTCAATATTGAGTTGGCCCCGCCCTTTGCAGCTATAACAGCTTCAACTCTTCTGGGAAGGCCGTCCACAAGGTTTAGGAGGGTGTCTATGGGAAGGTTGGACCATTCTGCCAGAAGCACATTTGTGAGGTCAGGCACTGATGTCGGGGGAGGAGGCCTGGCTCACAGTCTGCGCTCTAATTCATCCCAAAGCTGTTCTATGGGGTTGAGGTCAGGACTCTGTGCAGGCCAGTCAAGTTCCTCCATCCCAAACTGGCTCCTCCATGTCTTTATGGACCTTGCTTTGTGCACTGGTGAGCAGTCATGTTGGAACAGGAAGGGGCCATCCCCAAACTCTTCCCACAAAGTTGGGAGCATGAAATTAATTTTTGTGGCCAAGAATCTTCTTTTCTTTGCAGGTCACAAGTCATGATCATTTCTTTTTTTTTTTATTATATTTCGAACACAATTCTCCCATCATCGATTAGAAATTAATTTGGTTTTTCAAAAAATTTCCAACATGCCTGATCACTCAATTTTGATGGCCTCACGAAAATCCTGGCCACAGGATTTAGAAAAAAAATCTTTTGAATTTTGATCAATGTATGGCCTGCATAAGGCTGACTATGCATTATACAGTTTTCTTGAGAATTTTGCTTTAGATTTACCAAAAACCATATAATATGAAGTCAAGCCTAAACAACACTTTCAATTGTATCCAGTTAGGCAGGCCCTTGCACTACATAGGTGAAGGTAAATCTAAAGGACATTGGGCAGAAATTGGACAGAAAATTGTATAGTGTATGGAAGCACCCTGTTTCATTCCTCCTACACAACTGATTCTGTAGATTTGATGACTGTATTTTACCTCGCTTGTTGTCATGTTGCTTGTTATTATCAACCATTTGCTATAATTGTATATTCATACACTTGCCAATATGCCCTCAAAATCCTTAACTGTGTGCAAATGCACTTTGGACATTGTTAAAATAAAACATTCTCATTTTATAGCAATTTTCCACAAGTGCTTAACACATTTGCACAGTAGATTATTTTACAATCGGGTTTTTCAATTGCTTTACAATAGGTTTGCCAAACAGACAGCACAATAAAAGTAGCTACCTATCTGGATGGTCCTCTCTGATTGAAACCTCAATAGGAAAAATATAACATTTTGTATCTTTCTGGTTCTTGACGTAATACAGCCTTTCTCAACCAGGGTGCCCAGTCACCCTGGGGTGCCTTAAGGTTTCTTCAGGGGTACCTTGGCAAAATGTCTAAAATTTGCCAAAAACTTATATACAAGCCAGCGGGCGGAACAAGCCTGCCTTTTAGTTACACAAAGCCACAGGCTTTCATTGTGCACCATTACGACCTTGTAGCCGCCGGCATCCTGACAACCAATGACATCATCAGTTGGTAAGGAGGATGTCAGCTGCCTGCACAGCATCCTAGTTTGAACCTTCCCTGCCCCCCTCCATCAGTGCTGGGGTCACATTAGCTCAGTGATAGAGAAAAACTGAGGGAGAGGAGAAACAATGGAATACTAGTCAGTACCAGTGTGCGGGACCCAGGCAGGGGTGTATTTACCACAAGGCAAACAAGGCATTTGCCTAGGGCGGCATTTTTCAGGGGGGCAGCAGAATGTTTCAGTGGGGCAGCACGCCCCCAAAAGAAGGGATGGAAGAAAGAACACGCGCAGCACGGGGACCAGGTGAGATCTGAGAGAGGCTGCGGGCTGCTTGATCGTGTATACAGAGCCTGACTCTTGTTCCCGGGGATTTACGGAGCTGTGAAGGTGAGTGTCTTATCTCTTCCCCGGGTGGGGGGTGCCAGTGTATGGGGGGCAGTGGTAGTGGAAGGCTCTCTCCAATGGGGGTGGGGGGTGGGGTGTTGTTGGTCAATGTCAGGCTCTCTTTGTGGGGGAGGGAGGTGTTGGTCGGTGTCAGAATCTCTCCGTGGGGGGGGATGGGGAGCCAATTTTTCTGTTGCCTAGGGCAGCACGAAACCTAAATACACCCCTGGACACAGGGATATGTCTTTTACATGCAACAGAGCTAACAGTAGAAAAATATAGACATTCTGGGTTATTGCAGTACACGAACACAGCAAAAAGTCTCATTCCTAAATTCTGGATGGAAAAGAGAGTACCAAATATAATGGATTGGATTAAGAGAGTAGATCAGATATATAAAATGGAGGAATTATACCATTTAGATGAAGATGAAATGGAAGGTTTTCATG